TGCATTTTCATGGTGTAATCACCCAATAATTTTTTTTCCCGCGACACCCTCATCGGAGACCAGCTTCGCCAACAGCTAAAGGTTCGATAGCATGAGCTGAGCCAGCGAACCCTACCGCCGACAAAGGTTTGGAGAGTGGCCATACAGTGACCGCACTGAGCACTGTGCAGTGCGCGCTAATTCATCGGATCCCATGCGCCACGGTGATATGATAGCCGCTAATGGTACATATGTATTATCTCGCCTCCCACGAGCGTCGATAAATTAATCGGACAGCGGACATCACTTTGTTCAACAGAGGACGTTAGTGGACAGCCACTCCTGTTTGACATTTCACTCTAAAAATAACCGCTGTATTATATATTTTCATACGAATACCTATAATTGGTAAATGCCTGACAGCAAAGGAATTCGCCGATTCGGCCAAGCCAGTACCATGCAGGTCATCATTCCTCAGAACCAATTCAGGCTCCAGTCTCATTACAGGACCAAATCGGGACCACCAGACCGCGGACCAGTTTGCTGCGCGCTCTGGATCGCTGTCTCCCCGGGGGGCCTCATCAGCGTGTTGCGCGCGGCGCGAGCGGCGCCGCAGGACGCTACTAACCCGGCTGACACGGCGGGGAGCCGATCCCGTCCGTCACGACTCCACCTACCACAGGCAGGCACTGCGGAGGGAAGGCGCGTCGGCGCCGCTTCTCCATGCTACCGCTTGGCGCCGGCTCAGGAGTAAGGACATACACTGTCTGATGCGTAAATAAGATGAAATAAATGCAACAACCAAATTATTGCCATCGTTGGACAAGTGAAGATATCTTACCAAATACAGGCTCATAAGCATGCCGCAAAATTAACTGATATCTATTATACCTATTATAAAACATACGATTATAGAGCCTAAGTTCAGCATTTCTATACCGGTGCCTCTTGCTTCAGCAAACAGAACTGACACCCTAACGAGACAGCTCAGAGGAGGGACGGGCCCTGGTCCACTCGAACGCCCGCCGGGCCACAGGTCAGGAGGCCGGTATCCAGTCCATTTGGTGGCCAGCGGCCGACTCCCGCGGGCCGGACTGACATTTCGGATAGGTCACAGCGGCGGACCAGCGCGCTGGACGGTAGCGCAGAGCAGACGGAATGTAGCGGGGATATGGATCTGGCAGCACCGCGGGGCGAGGCTGAGGAGACTCGTCTGGTGCGCGGACAATGCTGGCGGTGAGGGTGGAGGGTGTTACGTCGACTCGTGATGGGCGGGGTGCCGTCGAGGTCTCTCTGAATCTCAGTCCATCCAGTCCGGTCACGAGTAGCGACAGCGGCCAGTACGGCACGCCCTGCCCCGCCCTGGCCAGTGTCCGCTCTCCACAGGCGGCCAACGCCGGGCCTTGGAACGCCAACCTTCAGCGAGTGGCTACCGGTGTTGCGCCGACCGAATCCGGCTCACAAAAATGAACCAATGAAACAGAAACATTTCAGCACACACAGTGAAACAAAGCAACAGAAGCGGTGCTTTAGAAGAATCCGATGATGCCGTGAGAAAAACAGACATAAAACCACATCCTTGCGCCGTTTTCTTCACGCCCGGCGGCCACAAAGACTTCCAGGCGCTCCGAATCGGAGCCAGACGGTTTTTACTCGGTCCATCGATGCGTCAGACCACCGACGCTGGCTGTCTCGGCACTGGATAAGGCTCTCCGCCCGGCGGACGCCAGCCGCCCAGCCCCGCTGTGTGAATGACGTCACTGACATGTCGTGGAAGGCCGGGCTTACAATACCAGCGGCGTTAACTGCTCGGCCCTCCGACCCCATCGGTACGCGGAACCGACCCGGCCCGGCCGCCAGAGCTTCTGACTCACCCGTCAACCCCGGCCAGGGGGGCGCCCATTCAATGCGACCCCACCACGACCTCAAAAGCGCCACTTGAGGCAGCTCCCTGCGCTTCCGACCCAAGTGCTGTTCGGCCGATCGCCGGCAGGTCGTAGGTAAACACGGTATCAGTTTAAGAGCCATTATCGGCCGGGTGCCTTTGTCGCGCAGTGCCGCGCAGTCGGGCGGCCCTGACCGCGCCTGTCGACGCCGTGATTGTACTCTCCGAGAAACGGGCAGGCGAGCCATCAACGCGGCACACCATCCATTGTGTGCGGCAGGGAGACGAGTCGCTGCCTGGGTCGAATGGCTTCTCTCGCCACCGTATGGGATATAACACCAACCGCGACAATTCAACTACAGCCACCCAGCCGCCACAGACACACAGACTCGAACCTTCCTCTCTTCATCCACCCGTTTCAACATCTCCTTCCTAGCCCTCCAGCTTCAGCCCCAGTCTCAGCCGGCGCCACTGCTGGTCCGGATGGCGTGTTCGACCCCGGTTCTCGGCGAGGCACCCCTGCCCGCGGCAGCTCTATCTCGAGAAATCGCCTTCTGCGCCGACAGCAAACGGTCGTCGGGACGGACACAGCCACTCGGGCCGAGAGACCGATCTGGCGACGGGCCGACCACGGGCCGTTGTGTCGGGGGATAGGGGCGGGGTCTCCCTGAGCACTGCTCCTCTGTTGGATAAGTGATTTCGAGAGTTGCCCCGACATAACTGAGAACATTAGGATTTATCGGTAGCTCGGCGCTTTTTAATGTGATTTGATTGCCGCCGATACCTGCCCATCAGCCTCCACACATCAATTTCTCTTCCACCACCATTTCAAGACCGCTCTGTCTTCGAGCACTCAATGCGACTACAGCATCCTCTACATTTCCCCGAAGGCTGGCCGGTCGGCGGTGACCGCCGCCGGCAGCGGCTGACCAGTCCGGCGACCGGGGGCGCTCCGGCGCTCGCCCGGAGAGCAGAGCCGGCACTCGCCCGACGACCGGGAGAGGAGAGCAGCAGCGCCGCCGCCGCCGCCGGCGTCGTCGATCGATGACGGCGGCGGCAGCGGCGTCATGAGCGGCTGCCCGCCATCGCCGGTCGGTAATGGTCACCCAGACCGGCTGGCCGGCGGTGATTAGCGAGGAACGCCGCCGCTGCCGGCCGCCGAACGGAGAGACGACGGGTGGCATCGGGAATAGGGCTCGGCGCCGCGCATAATGGTACGGTAAACAACACAGGCAGTCTTACTGGTTAGCACAAGCAATGATTATGCTCTGCATAACAACCGAGGTCTTTTCTATGGTCAGCTTGCTGCACACACAAGTGGCGAGCACAAGAGCCAATAACTTACACACCGAAGATGCTGCAACAAAGATATAGGTAGTGACAAAGTAGCACCTCATGTCTTGACGTGATGATGATTATCTATGCCACAATAGATTACTGCCGCAGCAACGCTTAACTCCACCTACGCTACCTATCACACCTCTCCCGGCTCTCTAACCTTCACCCCGTCAGATCAACGCCCACCCGAGGTCGCGCCCCCTGCAGGAGCCCACACAGCCTTGAGCCGCCGCCGAGCCGAGCCCGTGTGAATCACCGCCCCTCCCTCCACCTGCGTATCGTCGCCATCGACGAGCGTCAGCCGCCGCCGTAAACGGAGCGCGTCGGCCTCGACGGCGGTCCAAACACCGGCCGCCGACGATCCGGATTCCGGCGGCACCTCTCCAAAATTCGACGCCAGCTTCCGTCATAGGCGCGGCGCGCGGCCGCCGGGTTCGGACCAGATTCCACGACGGCGTCCCAGCCGGACGCTATTTCCGTCGACGCCACTTCGCATACGCCCGGCGGACCCCATTCTGGAGCGTCGTTTTCGGAAGCGGTGCTGACGTGACCGGCCCGAGAGCCTTGGCTTCGGCTCTGCCCATCGTCACCTGCCCCGGAGCCGCGCCGCTGGGGTTCCGGCGCCCCGCGTGACGCACCCGAGCTGCGTGGCATGGACTACCACGCGCCAGACGGCATACCGTACATGTATGCGTGACACGTGTACGCACACAAGCAGCGACACGCACAGACACGTGCTGACAGACAAACTGACACGGCCGCTGCTCGAGTCGTCTGTCAGAGTACGTGAATGTGCATTCCACGCGTGGTTCGGGCAGCTGCTAGGAATGACATCGCTTCTATCCTGAAGACAAGAGTGCAACATACGGGCGCCTACGACGTACGGCATGATGATGCAAGGTGACACGGCAGATGCATACCAAAGGGCAATTTTAAACGAGTAAAAAATAATCTAAATAAACTGTTTCATGCATACCAATACACTATGCCACATGAATTTGTTTCATGCATGCGTATTTCTTGCAATGAGATGCTTTTGGTAAGTTACTGTTGAATGCTTGCTGAATTTCGATGAAAGTCCTACACCCGAACTTGAAGGTCGCTGCGTTTCCGACCTTTTGATCCGCGTCAGCCATTTTCGGTCACGGGTCTCCAGTGACCGCTTGGTGAGCAAAGTGAGCGAAGCGCGCAGCTCACCAATGAGCAGCTCAATCGGACCAGACCCAGCTACACAGCACACAATAGGGCCGGCATTGATGGAGCGGCTCCACCCGGCCATTCAGCGACAGCCGCCTCACCAATAATAAACAGCGCGGAGCGACGCAGTGCGGCGAGCATCGTTCAGCCGATCAACAATGCCGACCACTTCCCCAAATAGCGGCACAGATACAGCCGGCCCAACAGCCCATCAGTCATTGTAGTCGGTCGGCAGTCAACTGGATGGCTTGCTCTTGAATGAGCGCTGTTAGTGGCGGGAGCAGGGCCTCGCAAAATTTGGGCACACTGTGTCACACACAGCTCACTGCTCAGGTATGATTATCTATTCTAGAAGGTGAAGAACAGGCCACCCGTCTCTTCATCTTTTTTTACACTTGCGCTCAGATCCATCAAACCGGCAATCAGATTGCAATCAGTCTTATTGTAATCCACGAAAATACTTCAAATCCAAGAAAGCAACTCCCGGGTAAAACATCAAAACTTGCCGAGCATACAATTCCTCCGTCAACTACGAGAAAGGAAGCTCATCAACCCACTGACCACTCTTTTCCCTTCCTCCGTTCAGCCCTGGGGCACTCACCTGGACCTTTCTCTCCGAGTTGGTCTTCTTAAGCGGCGGCTTGGGCGGCAGCGGCCGACCGGCCACGGGCGGTAGCTCGCCGGCACTCAGGGAGGGCGTCGCCGTCAGCTTGTTGTGCGACAGCTTCCGCAGCGGCGTCGGCAGCCATTTACGCCTGCCGGAGGAGCCGCGCACGGCGCCGTCAGTGCACGGGGCGCCGGTCGCGCCGGCCCGCGACATGACGGGGTCAGACCAGCAGTGTTCACTAAGAGCTACGAATACAGTGTGGGATGTCCTCACTCGCACTCACGATGGTTGAGTCCAACAGCGCACACACACGGACCCACACTTCACTGTCAGCACCGCTCGTCTCTGTGTCTCCACCACAGTGAGCCACCGACCCTGTATGACCGGCCTCGAGCCGATAGTCCCCCCCCCCCCGCGGCCGATACGCGGCCTATCGCACCAATGTTCGCTGTCGACACTGCGCCCAATAGGCCAGCGGCACGCGGCACCGTATCAGACCGGCGCGCCCCGGTCTCGTGACAGGCTGACAATCAGACACCGCCGACACGACACGGTACACCTGTCACATGACAGGTGACAGACAACGCAGTTAAACGGAACAGGTAACGCAGTTAAACGGCAGTCACCACGCTTTGTGGTTATTGGAACAGTATACCTACACATCATAAAACCACTCAAACCAGCACTCCTCAACGCATCACAAAATCACGTCCAGTTACAAAAAAAAGAAGCAATAGACAAAGCCCCGCCGCAACAAAGGAATTAGGAACAGACAAAATCCCGTCACAATCAAGTCACACACAATAACCTCACATTGATAAGCTTCCCATCACACCACCATATTAGACCACATCCAACCACAAAACATAACCTCTGGGCCCGACACGCCCTACATTCCCCTCCATTCCACTCCCACTCCCATCACACTCTCTCGTCCCATATCAATCCCCTCTAGTCCCCTCTTCATCCCCTCCTGTCCCCTGTCGGCCCCTCCCGTCTCCATCCCCGCACTTATCCGTCGCTTCGCCATCCAACGCCCACCTGTGGCCATCCCCGTCCCTCAGTCTCAGCCGGTCTCGTCATCGATTTTACGCGTCGGCCCTGCAGCCATCCACCTTGCCACTGACCGCGAATTGAGCACCGTCGGCCGCAACAGGTCGTCGGCGGCGACGACAATCGATATGCGCCCAGTGATTTGCCCGTCGGCACACTGGTCCAGATTCACGAAGAAGTCGATCAAAAATAATTTTTGAGTGAACTGAGTTCAAATCCACATGAAAAGGATCTATAAGCATGAACATGACCGAATTTCTACATTTTACCTCAGAAACCGAAAATAACGAGTGATTTTAGTTGGCCAGCTTTAACAAACACACTGATTTGTAACAAAACTGTTTATATGTCACATCATAACACACACTGAAAGTTGGCAACTTTATGGCTCCCCTCCCCATCATAACACACACTGAAAGTTCATCCCCGCGACCAGCAAGACAACCACCACCACCCAGGCTCTACAGCTTCACCGATGGAGCCCGAAGGAGGGCCAGGACCTCTGAAGGAAACTGGTCCGTGGCCGTGGTCGTCGGAGTCTTCAGCTTCCGCATCCGGAGGGGGCTGATCAAGGGGTCGGAGGTCTCAAGAAGCCGGTGGACCAGGTCGGTGTTGGACTGAACCCGGGACATCTGGCGCGAATGGTGATCCCGGATTGCCTTGAAGTCATTGTTCCTGGCTTCTTGGGCTTCCTCTGACATCGCCCCCAGGGGAAGGAGCGTGCCGGCAGAGACAGTGGGAGCATGGATCAGGAGCTTGTGGACCGACTGGGGCATCCTGAACCACCCATACTGACTGACCAACATCCTGGCTGTCTCAACCGCGTACACGCCGAACCGCTCTTCGTCGAGGTGGAAGTTGGATGACGCAGCGCGGAGGAGGTAGCTTAAGCGGCGGATCAGGGTGGAATCAAGGCCCAGGATGTCCGCAGACGTTTCGTGCTCCAAGAAGAAGCGGCGGGCCGAGTTGCCGTCGTTGGTCGTTCCAGCTCCGCCAGGAAGGGGCTGGTCGATCAGGAGCCCCAAACGCTGACGAAACTCGGTCTGGATCCGCTGCTTCTGTTCCTTGACGATCCGCTGCTTCTCCTCTTCACGGGCCTGCCACTCGCAGAACGGGAGTCGGTACGCGATGTGAAGGAACATCTCCATCGACCGGATCCAGCAGTGGAGGGTGGAGATTCCGTGCTGAGTCCGGTCTCCTGCAATGGGCCGGGCCAGGACTCCGTCGATGTCGTTCATCTCCGTACGCTTGGCCCGGCAGATGCTGCAGACCTGTTGCGACCGGATGCCCTGGATGGCGTTGTGGACCTTGCCGTCAATCATGGTCAACGTCATCTCATGGCGGACGGAGATGGTGACGTCGTTAGTGAGTTGGACGACTGACGGTGTGAGTGACTCCATCTCCTGCTGGAGTTGGACGTAGGTGGCGGTGGTCAACTCCTTCGACTCCTTCTCGAAGATGAAGCTGATCGGACGACAGAAGAAAGTGGAGTTTGGCTTCGGGTTCGCCCAGATCACTCGGCCATCCTCGGTCCGGAGCCGCAGAGGGACCATACTCGCCAGGAACATGGTAGAGTCATCGACGTCCGTTGATTGTCGATGGCGGTAGACTTGTTGACCGGTAGCGCCGTCAAACCCGTACTTGGAGGTCAGGATCAAGGAGCCTTGAGCTGCCGACGATTGGATGACCGACGCCTGGAGCGTGCACAACCTTGACGCCGTGTGGTCAAGCAATTGCTGCACGGGGACAGAAGCGCCCCGGTCGTCGACAACAACTCCAGCCGGATGGCATCGCTTCTTGGCATCCAATACGAGGTTGTACGGCGGGAAGATGTCGGCGACGTGGTCCTTTGATGTCTCACGGACCTCTTGGTACGCAGCTCGTGTCATGGTGGTGTTGAAGAGCAACACGAGAGCTTCGTCGGCCGACAGCGTTTTCGGAAGCGATGGAGGGGGTCCGCGGTACGATGCCTGCACCACAGTAGGGTCCGGGCCGTCTGCCGCAATCACTTTCTTGATGATGTCGGCTTCGGTTTTCCTCCCCTCCTTCCTCAGAGTCATCTGAGCCGCGTGCGCCAGCTGCTCGCCGGTGAATCCTTGGTCGAGCAGCTGGGACACGTTGCGGCGCCTGGTGGGGGAGGAGACGAGGGTGAAGGCAGCCGGCATCTGCGACGGTCGTCCGCGGCCATCCATCGGGTCGTCTTGCCCAGGAGCTGGAGGTGCCAGGATCGCCACTGGAACAGATTCGAGAAGCCAGACTGCATGTTTGTCGAGCATCTTCGCGAAGATCCGTCGAACTCCTGGAGCATCCCAGCGTCGATGCATCCTCTTCCGATGATCAAGAACGACGTCCCGGATGACAGATCGGTCAGGCACACGTCCAGGAGGAACCGAAAGACACAAGAACTCGACACCAGCTTGCAATGCCTCGTCCGACATCAGGGGACCGGCTCCCAGCATCGCCTCCAGAAGCTCCCGACGGGTGGGGGATGTCATCTCATTGAGTGTATCTGAAACGGGAAAATCTAATTTACTGCTAAAGTAGCAAAAAGTAGCAAAACCTTTTCCTACCAAGTGAAGAGTGATGTTGTAGGTATCACATGATATGGGTTTGATGTTGTACTTTGCTGTCCTTCTGTACGATCTCATCCGATGAACAAACAACAAGCGACCGCACGACCACATGTGATTCCAACCAAAGGGAATTCTCCCAGTATTGGCTCAAAGGAGGAAACGACCACTTGGTTGGGAAGTTGCCATCCTTGGGTGACTGGAGGTACCACAAAAACTTGGAGACACGAACGTTCACTGGTGAGCACACGAGCACAACTCGTCACTTGCTGAGAAGCGGCACAAAGAGGGGGAAAAACCCTCACTTTTAAACGCGCACTGCTCCTGATCAGAGGGCTCGGGAACCAAACTAAAAGCATATCTCGGTTCCCCAGGAATATAACAAAAGAAAAATAACCCTGGAATAAGTAAATTCGAAAACAGCAAATATTATTTTTGATCGGGTCTTACGTGAATCTGGACCAGCGTGGTCGGCGATAAAGAGCGATCGACGCGCACGCCAGGTGTGGGCGGAGCGTGAGTGACGTTAGCGGAATAGCAGCTACTGGTCGTCGGAAGATCCAACAAACGCAGCGCGTAGCTTGCAGATTTGTTCAGATGAAGGAGAGCACAACTCGATGTTAATCTACCACTCTAGCAGCGATACATATTAGGGACATCTGATACTTCTGATAGGACAGAATTATCAGACTCAGTCTGACAAAGCAGCAGGCATAATAAGGCATTATCAACACCATCCAAGGGCCTGTAAAGGGACATTTAAAAGAATTTTTCTCCTTGGAAGTCGATACAATATACATGGGACATATATGAAATAATATTTTCGGAGTTTCTTGAGTGATATATATTGAAAAATTGATAGCAAATATTTCGATACTCGTAGTGGTACCTTTTTCAATGCGAGTGAAAAAGGTATCCGAAAATATTATTTCATATTCATTATAACTTGAGGAAAAGGTAACATGACTCTTAAGTCATACAATACATGGGACAGTTGGCCAGACCGTCACATTACAGAATTATGAGGCAGTTCCTCCACTGAGGCTCACACTCTCACACCGGCGCCAGGAGGCAATCAAGGCCCGCGAACGTGACTCCACGCAATCGTCCTCATTACTCGCACCCCGTGGGGCCAATCAGCACAACATTAGACTGAGATGAGCTCCTGACCTGGAGCAAAACGACGCCAGTGAGAGCGGCGCAACTTTCAAGGACGTGCCTAAAAATGATCAGCAAGGCGGTTACAACATTAATTAACCGTGTCGATGCGTAGGATAGTGGCACTAACAGACCTACCTAACAGGCAAGCAAGAGTTTCACTGCAAACTGCCATCGTCAAGCGACAAGGGATTTCATTCGCATAGAGCCAAAACACTGGGTAAAACATGCCTAAACTATGGATGGTGGAGCCTCTTGCTATAAAGACGATCACCTAAATTTCTTCTAATCCCCACGAACCATACCAGTTACCAACCCACTATAAGCCACACACTAATCTTGCACACACCTGACAGCGTCCCACTTACTCTGGTCCTAAATCCGAACGAATTCATTCAAACGTTTGGTGTCCCCCGATTCTGCCACAGACCCTCGATATCCTCCGCTTAGAGCCCGAGTCGGACTGGTCACCAGCTCATCAGAATCACAGATGAACCGGCCCAGGCACCGAGGACAACACCGAAAGGCGCTCTGTGGCCGTCACGACCTGACAACAGGACCGTCACGACTGACAACAGGACAGTCACGAAACTGACTACATTGCTTCACTCTTGATTTCACATACACGCGACTTCGACGCTTTCAGCTCATGTCGCCTATCTAAACACATCAGCTCATCTGTGCCAATATCGCCTATCTAAAATCACTCCGTTTTGACCGCACGTGGCAACAGTCCGTCCGCGGTATCTCCGGGGCCCGTCCCCTTATCGGTCTGACCCGTCCCGACGGCGGGGTGCCAAAAAGGTCACCGCCCCTGACCCAAGACCGGTGGCCATGGACGGGTAACAATACATGGGCTGAGAGGATCCACGCCCGCATCAGTAGGGCGGTCACGACTTCACAGAACATGAGTCATAGTCACAGCGTTTTAGCGTGCTCGTACGCAGCTTGAAACATTTACCTACAATGTAATACTGAGTCGAACCCGAATTACGATCATACGCTACAACGTTTCCCCTCACGCACATATACGCATTCACGCAGGTTACAATCGACGCGTAAGTGTGTTTCCCTAATCCATACCCTATACTAACCAGCTCTCGACCACATTCGTCTCCAAACATGGACACCCACGCACCACTCCGTACACATTCCCACACAATTCGAGACACCCTGCAGTCCTGCACCCTTGCACCAAATTCCCAGACACCTCTACACTTCCTACATCCCCTACCCACCGCTCCACCGAGCCAGACTACACCTCCCCACACCAGACGACACCCTCCTACAGCGGCTTAGTCGAGCGGCCGTCACGAAACCGGCAGCAGGGTAGCGGCGACAGGGACGGGCCGCCCTGCCGCCGCCGAGGTCCCAGCCAAATACGGTAGCGCACAGCCGGCCGCAGCCCGCCGGCCGTGGCTCCGGCGCGGAGGCAGGTTATGGTCAGGTACTGGCTACGGCGCAGGACGGTGATGCGGCAGCTCGACTAGGCTGGAACGGTGGAGGACCAGCCAGTTTTTTTGTGTTTGGTGTGGTGACGCACATGGCTGGCCCACCAAAGAGACGTGATACTGACCGGGACTCCCCGTATCTCGCGACGAGATAGGAGAGAAACTGGGCTGACTAATGCTGGCACAGCATCAAGTGGTCAAGAGAGGAACGAATAAATACACAGAGGCATCAGCATACATGGGTACATGACGTATGACAAACATCTCAGGCAGAACATATCTACAAATAAATCTACCATATCAAACAGACAAATCTCAGACTGGCTGAGCAGTACACACCCAACTCTGGTACCAGACAGCCCGACGTCAAGACAGCCTCTCAGATAATCAACAGACAGCTCGTCTCCTAGAGAGCCCGCTCGCTAAGACAGCCGCCAGGGCCCAGTCTGGCCGCTAAGACAGGCCTCAAACACAGGCCGAGGTACGGGCAGCCGCCGAGGCACGATCTGGCCGCTAAGACAGGTCTCAAACAGTGGCCGAGGTACGGGCAAACACACGGACAGGTGGTCGGTAGTGGCGGCGGCGCGTCGTGTTTGCCAACGAGCCGGGGGCGTGCCGCCGACGCCGGCGGCGCGCTCACGGCTGGTCGATCGGCCGCCGGCTAGACCCGCCTCCAGACCCGCCCCCTGTGCACCCTGAGAAGACACCTACACCGAGCATTACCCCAATCTCGGTCATTACTTACACCTCAGTCGGTCCATGACAAAACGCCCACTGGGCAGCACCCTTAGTTCAGACCATGCCCCCTAACACCTTTCCCAACAGTGAGCAGATCACCACGGCACAACGTCTCACAGCGTGACAACAACGTCCCTTTAGGCATTGCTAACTGAAGCACCCGACCACCGTCTCATCGTCACACGTTTAATCGCACACCCAAAGATACGTCACATTTAACCCCGGACGACATGACGCGTCACCGTCTGGCGTGCGCGACCACGTCCCGTAACCGACAACCACTGGCGAAATGAAAACACAAGAACACCACAACAGTTGATCAAACAACAAACAACATATTTTCTACATTATCATGCCTTTTCCCTTTGTCTGCGAGCACCCAGATGCGACCGCAGGCCGTTCGGGGGGGGGGGCGGCCCCCCAAGGCTCCGGTGTCCCCTGTGACCCAGCCCAGCGCCTGGCTGCCCCGAGGGGCGCGGCTGAGGAAGTCAGCCAGCCGCTCCGTCACTCACCCCGATAGGCCCTTCCGCTTGTTGACTGGCGACGAGGCTTGACTGTCACCGGCAGTATCTGTCAACACAAGGAGAGGGAAGGTCAGCTGGAGTTCAGCGGTCACCGTTAGCGGGGACGAGGGGACACTCACAGGTACCGATAATGATATGACAGTTCAGTAAACACTTAGACAAACAGTACACAGCTGTATTCGCCTTATCCACCACCGGCGATGTTTTACCGTCAGTGACTCGGGGAAGGTGTGGGGATGTAGCGAGGCCTGACACGATTCATCACGACCTGTCACGGTTTGGCCACGGTCCGCTCCGGTCCGACACGGCCTGTCAAAACCTGTCACACCACCGGAGACGGACGGCCGGAGGACCGCCGTCACATCCGCTCAAACTCGCGGCCGAAGGTGGCCTCCAGCCCGCCCACTATCCTTGTCACATTTCCACCAAGGAGTGATCTCAGAAAAGCGTCAGAAGATCGCCCGGTCACAAGATTTTATCCCATGCCACCAGGTGACCTCAAAGGACCTCCTAACTCCACCCCATCCCCGGGTTAGTCCGGAGGACAGGCTACTTCCGGCGCGCCTGTTCGGGGTCACGGCCAACAGAGCAGTGAGAGGGTTCGACCGACCACCACAGCCACACCGGCAGCTGAGAGCCAGCCAACACCAACAGGCTAATAGGGCGCCTGTCGCAGCCGTAACGGCTTCAGACAGCCCGCAACAGCGCCAGACAACGGCAACAGGCTCAGCCAGCTGGGCGAGAGGCACGCGCACGACAGCCGCGGAACAGCTTCGAGGAATAATGGGGAGGGGTCATAGATCCTCATTCAATCGGAAAACAGCTCGGTAGCATCGTGGGTGAATCAGAAACTCGGCGCGTCCCAACGTTTGGTCTGCAAGACGCACGCTAAAACGCGTGCCTGTGCGGCTAGGAGTCACCCGTAAAATCGCACCAGACAGCGCTGAGGTGGACGGTTAGAACTCAGACAAACTGAGTCAGAGATTGTGGAAAGCTGGAACGATCACCGTGAAGGTCGTGCCGTCGACGAAAACGAACACCAAAGAAATCCAGTTCACCCGCCTTGGAATGCGAACCACGCAGTAGTTCAACTCAAATATCATAAAAAAGAAAACATAATAAGACACAATAGGAAAACATGGAACAAAGTAGCGATGAAACGCGTTCAGAGTCATCTAGTTATATCAGAAGTTGAAACCAAGCATAGGTATACGATGCAGTCATTACATATAGGTGCTACCAAATCCTCAAAGAGTACCGCTCAAGGTCGATAGTAGGGGCTGTCGGAAACCGCCTCCTCCCCACACTGGGTGGTGGCCCCTGTCCAAAGATGCACGAGGCGTGAATCGACGCCGGCGGCCGCCTGGTGAGCGTCCAATACGGGTGGCGCAGAGGCCAAGCCGTGCCGCTCAGACGCGGGTGTCAGAGAACAGAAACTGTCAGTCGCGGTCGGTCGTGCAGTCGAGTCCGGGCCCGACGGGAGCATAGTCCGGAAAGTGTTATGTAAACATGCAAGATCCCTTTCGGTGTGCGTGCTCTTTTGGAATGCATGCTTGTCACTTATCTACTTGCGCAGCGGCAAACGTGAAACATTTGTTTCCTCAAAGACCATTGCAACATGAACTATCTCCACATTGCTGTATCATTTCAAGTATGACATAACCGATGTCACACACCTTTGCTACATCAAAGACGGCGGCGCCTGCGGGCGGACATCCCCTTGCTCTCCCTCCTATCTCTCATCTACCTTATGACACCTGCACCTGGCTGGCAGCCTCCGGAGACACGGGGAGACCCACCCGGTCCCGGGCGCGACTCACAGAGTCGGGGAGACCCAAAACGGAGACGTCAGAAGGTTTGACACAGAGATCTCGATACGCCGCCTGTACTCACACAGAAACAGGTCCTATCTGAGACGACAGTCACGCAGGACGGGCGTGAGGAGCCGCGTGGAGGCTGGTGGTTCCCGAGAGGAAGCGAGGGTCGGAGACGGACATCCCCGTCAGTTTCGGCGGCACCTGGTTGTGCAATGTGCATGAGGTGTGCGCGTCGTGTGCTTTGCCTCAGTGTGTGGTCCGTCACTCGTCAGAGCCCCAGAAAAGCGTCGATTAGCCGTGAGCACTAGCAGGGTGTACTGAACGCCATAAAAAACCTACAAAAGCAGCCACGCCCCACACACGTCAACTGAATAGACGACGGCTCACCACCTCTGGTGAAACACACCAAAACGGCGCCTGATCGAGGCCTCCCCTACCGAAGCCTCACACCGCCTCAGAGCGAGAGAGCGCCCTCAAGAGCGGCACAAGAACTATTCAGAGCACCTCTATCAGAGACGCCATGGTAAACAGCTCGGGGCCGGCAAAAACGGCGCCGCGTCTGGCCCGGCCGGCGGTCCTGTGTCGTGTGCCCGTCTGTCCGTGTCAGCTCGGGTCAGATGCGATTACACGGGGTTAGACGAGGTCAGTGGTTATCCGGTCTTATCGGACGGTCAGCTCGGTCGGATAGAGAGCGGCCGTCCGTCCGTGTCTTAGCTGAGCCTCGATTAATCTCACTCACCGGAGAGACGAGAGAACGCCCGTGACCTATTGAAGGTAGGAGCGGGGACGATCGGGAGGGGAAGAGAAAGGGGTGGAAGGAAAGAAATAAAGAAAAGAGACAAATGTAGAGGAGAGAAGAAAGCGAGAAACAGCAATGGACTCACTTCAGACAGACTTCAAAACCACCGACGAGTGCAAACAGCTGCGTGAGCCCCGCCCGACCACCCTCAACCGGTCCATGATCCGCAATCAGAGTAAGATGCCGACCGCACCGCCTCCCATTGCCGGCCGAGACGGCTGGGCCAGATAGATCACTGCCCCGTGGAGAGGGTAGTCGGCGAGAGTGATCACCCAACTGTGCGAGAGAGAGAGAGAGAGAGAGAGAGAGAGAGAGAGAGAGAGAGAGAGAGAGAGAGAGAGAGGGGGGGGGGGAGGGATGGAGAGGTCTGCCGGCCGGCCTGGAGACAGGAGATGTGGGGTACCCCGACCCGATCCAGCGGGGTAAGGCCGGAGGAGAGGGCCCCGCGGCGGTACAGTCGCTATGGGCTGGTGGACGGATGGAGAGTGGCAGAAAACAGATACCGGAGGACACATCACTGCATTACTGGGTCAGCGTCGACGCATAATGGAGCGTTCGAGTAGGTTCAATAGGCCAGAGCGGAGTATACCAACCAAACCGCTAATACCGGCTGAGGAGAAGCTGTGTTGCTATGTAACGACGAATCACAAACTCTTCTCGGACTACGGCAGATCGACCGGGATTCTGGACGAGCCGGGGCTCCCGTCGCGTCCACACACCTGTTGGCTAGTCACTGATCACTGCATTGATCACTGTCCGAAAGTCACTGATCACTGGCTTGTCACTGGCAGACCGTCATTCACTATTCCATATTCCTTCGTCACAACCCATCACCCTGCATTTTTTCGCTGCAGGACGGTCAGTCACTCAGCACCAGTAGCCTGGACATCGCCATGGCAGTTACCACGCACCAATAACGCACTCGCTGCCTTCTTCGAGCCCCTGATGGGCGTCATACACCACCAACAACAACACCACAAGTAACACCAGTGCTACCACCACAGCAGTGCTACGGCGATGGCGACCACCGGCACCAGCACCATTCTCCGTCTCCAGAGCGCCGTCTGCGGTGGTATTACTAACGAGGTCACCCGGGACCCCCCTCCCCCCCGTCGACTGACGACAGATGCCATCGACGGCACAGGCCGACGACCGTAAACAAGGGGCAGACGACGGGCGGACGGCGCCGACCGCGCCCCTCAGCCGGCCCGGTCGGGAGCAGCGGCTCCAGAAACGCCATGGACGGGTCTATTCGCGGATATTGTTTCCGCTGGAGATCAAACTATTGCCACAGGGTCGAGGCAGTTTCGACCCAGATTCGCCTGTCAATTGCTGCGCTTTAACCCTCGCCCGTAAACGGCGATCTGCCACCTTCGCCCATGCAGGGGGGGGGTTGGTGCGACCCCCCCCTTGGCGTTTGAAAACGGAGCGTCGTAGAGCTTAGCGGAAAAAACCAACGGATTGCTCTCGCCGAGATCTCGCGATTGGTGGTATATTTTTTGGTCCTAGGTCAACATTTGACCTACTTTTGACCGGTCAAAGGTCAAATTTTCGGAAAAATAGACTTTTTTCAACTTTCCGCGTCGATTGCGGCAAAACGGTGGGAGATATCGACTTGAAACCTTCACTATTGTGTTCCTTGATCAATTCTCTATCGTTTGGTATGTATTTCGTTTCCCTAGCTCTAAAAATGGCGCGTTGGGAGCGCCGGAAGTCGGCAAGGTCACAGTCGGCGGCAGAAATTCGAAAAATCAAAATTTAAATTTTTGAAATCTGATTGTATTTTTGGATTTGGAAGGTCCATTTGCTCCCTATAGAAGCTAATATTGCTGCATATTCCCATTGAGGTGACAAGAATTAGCAAAATAGTGGTTCGGGCGCTTTTCAAAAATAGTACCGGACGCTGTTCCTCTTGTGACGTCATAGCTCCGTGACCTGACCTGACCCGGTCAAGTTTCTTATACCATATGATAGCCAATACTTGCCCCAACATGCATGGGAAGTTTCATCACGATCCATCAACCGATGTCCGTACCACCGGCAGGAAACCTCGGGCGTTGGCACTCAGTTTGTGAAAATCCGGCCGGAGGCTGTTCCCTTTGTGACGTCATAACTCCGTGACCTGACATGACCCGGTCAATTTTTTTTTATCAAAAGATGCGCAAGGTTTGCCCCATAAGGTACCCAAAATTTGGCGGCGCTGCGCGCCGCCGTTTTTGCACTATTTCCGAAAAACCTCAGGGGGGGGGTTGCACCAACCCCCCCCCTACATGGGCGAGGGTTAAGTTTGGCCCTTTCTTACACTAATTGTAGGTACGTTCATATGAAATAAGCACGCAAAGGAGCAAAAGCATGGGTCAAAAGATCGATTGATTGATGGGCGAGAGGATTTACCTGAACACCCTCCCATGTTGCAGACTTCAGTGACAG